ACACACATGTGCGCACACCCTTTGGAATTATGAGGATGAAAAGGCATTTTATAAGCTGCAGTGACACTGTGAACATTCCATTTTATTAGGATATCTTACACTTTAGTTTCTGGATCATGATTTATACTATATGGCAAGACAGAGAAAATGACCTAGATTATTCATTTCACCAATCTTATTTCAGGGGTAAATATATTTACCTACATCCAAAATAGAAGAACAAGGGGCTGGGGATTTAGCTCAGCAGCATAGCACCTGCCTGACAAGCTCAAGGTCTTGAGTTCAGTTCCTGGTACTGGAAACCACCCCCGCAAAAAAAAAAAATAGCACAATTACTGTTTCTAAGACAAAGTGGCATCATAATATTTTTCTTTTTGAACTCGGGACCTTATTGCTTGCCACGCAGGCACTTCGCCACTGGGCTACATCCCAGGCCCACCAAAATATTTCTATCTGAGGGGAATACAACCTTTCAAGCAGTAAGACTAAAAATACTGCTTCATTTAACAGAATTGTTGATTTCACAATTCAGCTTGGCCCAAATTCATCTACTTTTCATTATTAACACTACCTCAAAAAAGGGGATTTGTGAAGCAATACAAGAAAGCCAAAATTAGAATCCATAACCCTCTATAACCTTAATTCTAGTCCCTAGTGTCAAGTCATCTTCCCTTTCTGAGCATTTGGTTTACATCTACAACTAAGAACAGTAACTATGTTAAAGTATGGTGAAAATAATATTCTGTAACATGCTTTCTTGCCTGTTTGTTCTCAATATTAAATTACTTTCAGGGTAATGAGCCAAACAGCCTTTTAATTTAAACACACACACACACACACACACACACACACAAATACACACAAATATACTACTCACTTCTTGTAAGATTTTAATCTTGGTCAAGTATTTTTCAGTTCACCTAATTAGGAGGAAGTTGTTTGTTTTTTCCCTTTTAACAAATGGTAAAACTAACTGAAGCCTTAATGGCTGCATTTTATTTACCATGCTTGTAGAGCAACAGGAAACTCATACATAAGTAAAGAACTACCTTGGGAAAAAAAAAAAAAATGGCTATCGAACAAAATTCTCCGCGTTTGGGAAGATCCTGAAAGCACAAAGCCAAAAATCATACCCAGCGGCAAAGCGCCTGCCTGGCAAGCGCAAGGTCGTGAGTTCGGTTCCTGGTACCAGAGAAAAACCCAAAAAAAAAAAAAAAAAAAAAAAAATCATACCTAAGTTAAACCACACTGAAGTCCCACAATAAAATATTATTTACCATAGGTAAGGGAAAAGCAATTTGATAGTACGGTATTTCTTTCAATCAGTAGTTGCAAAGATATCTGGCCAGTTATACAGCTAAGGCTGTATAACTGTGCCTGAGATAAAACTGCATTTGCTCACATTTTAAGTAACAAATTGTGATCTCCTAAAATGACAAGACATACCACACCACAAAAATTGGCTTTGACATAAACCTTATTCACACCTTAAAAATTTTTAACTAGTCAATAACAAAAAAATATTTACTCTTGTCGTTTTTTTTTCTTTTGAGACAGTGTATCACTATATAGTTCAGGCTGGACTTGAACACAGTTGTCAGGCTAGCTGAGATTCTTCTTTTTCAGCCTCCAGAGTACTAGGATTATAAGCATGTGTCACCATGCCCCCACTCTTGTCTACTAATACAACTTGGATTCTCTCCATTTTGAATACTTAACATTTATTAATTGTTGATAAGATACCAAAAATGATGTTCTCAGGATGTTTTAATCACAATTCCCTCTTCTGGTATATGAAAAATTTTAACTCAATTATTTTACTATTTATAAGGCAATTATACCAAAGACTGTATGTAAACTTTAACTCAGAGATGCCACTATATGATAGAAGATTAACAATAAAAAGAAAACTTTGTTTTACTAGAGAAGGACTTGTACAAAAGATTATCAAGCCAGGCATTCCATATATCTAAAAAATTTTTAAAAATTAACTTCATTTGTAAGATTTTTATAGTTTCAAAAGTTGAAATACAAGTTAAAAAGATGTTATACAAGTTAAAAACAAGAAGGCCGAATAGTGGTACTCAACAAAAAGGATCTACTTCATGAATGCACACCTTCAGGTAATACCCAGCTTCAATCTTTTTGGCTCTTGGAACTAAAGTCTGGAAACACTGAGTGAACAATGGAGATCTAAACTGATGAGCATCACTGCACCTTAGTTTTACAAAAATGTGGGAAACAATGAACACTGGGCCTATTAACCTTAGCATCCAATATTATCTTCCAGCATCCAAGGCAAACCCTCTAATTCCATGGTCTATTACCTACTTTCTTCCATACCATGCTTGTCTTTCCAATTAAAATTCAAAGTTCCTTGAGAATATGCGTAATTTTCATTGCTTTTCATTCCCCTCAGAATATGCAATCTCCCGTATTCAATTACGTGTCCAATATTTAAACACAAAGTACAAACTTAAGACAGAATCATATTGTCTCAGATTAGACGTGACCTTAGAATGTAACTAGTTAAATTAGGAATATGAAGACCAAGTGAAGTGGTTGCCTGAAAGTCAATCACAGTAACTCATTTACGAAAAAGAGGACTAGTGTCCAGTGAGCAGTCTTCCAATTACATCATTACTTCTTTTCAATGTTTTCTTCACAAATGACTATTCATCTAGCTTGGTTTTTTTGTTGTTGTTGTTGTTTTTTTCCGGTACCGGGAATCGAACTCACCACCTCCCGCTTGCCAGGCAGGCGCTGTGCCACTGAGCTAAATCCCCAGCCCCCTCATCTAACTAACTATCACTCAAACACCAAAAGTAAAATCATCATTTATAGTACCTAGAAATTAAGATCTGGCAAGATATACTAAAAATTGAGCATCACAAATTTGAGGCCTGCCTGAGCTACATAGAAAGACCCTATCTCAACTCAACAAAACAAAACTCAAGTGAAAAAGTGACTGGCTTCTGCTGCATAGACTCCAGGGACACTGAAAAATACCATACAGTGCCCAAGACAGGCCTACAACACAAATGTCAACAGTACCCAGGCTGAAAACCCCATTCTGTTGTCCAATAAAAATATGATGTGACTCACATCCATTCTTCTGAATTTATAGTAACAAATGGTGTGGTGGTATAAACCTGTAATGCCAGCCCTTGGGAGGCTGAGGCAGGAGGAATCTGCCTCAAGTTGAAGCCCAGCATGGGCTACACAATGAGACCCTGTCTCAAAACACAAAAACAAAAAGTAGCTATAAAGAAAAATAAACAAAGGAAATAAATTATAATATTTTATTTAACAAAAAACATTAAACATTTTTAAAGGTCTTAACTTTTAATGTATCAGTCTCACCCGAGAATTAAAGGTCAAGAAACAGAAGGCTTAATGTATTGCAGTATTAAAAAAACAAAAAAACAACAACTCCAACAGGTAAGTCACCTCTTTTACTAGTACTGGAGTTTTGTCTAGGCTTGGGATAACCTGTATCTACCTTACTTAAATTCCAATTGTTCCCTTTTTGGGGCTTTGGTTTTGGTTTGTTTTTAGAGACAGGGTCTTGCTACACAATTCCGGCTGGCCTTGAATTGCAGCAATCCTCCTGCTTCAGCCTCCCAAGTGCCCGGACTACAGGTGATCAAAATTCCAACTGTTGTTAACACAATTTCTGAAAAAGTGTGCTTTGGGAACATACGTATATCAAACTGAGGAACCTAAATTTTCCACATCAAACCACAAACAAGTGAGCGCAATAGCTTCCAAAAGCTCTAATACAAAATACTAACACCTCACAATTCTGCGGTAAAATGAAGTGCTACAAAGTTAACTGTGAAAAACGAAGTTAAATCTTCACAGTGAAGATGAACGTCTTATACACTTTAGAAAACTTGTTACAAGACTAAGAAAAATAAAACAGTTGTTAACAAACAGGCTATTTCCCTAACCTCCAGGGGAAAAAAACTGGAATTAAATAAATATAAAATGTAAGGCTTGTTATTAAGTGGATGCAACATTTTCAGTATCTGTGAGACATGAAGCACAATATCTGGAATACAGTAAGAGACCAATATGCAGTGATTACAACTACTTGCATTCACCAAAACACAGTTCCGTAACTTTTTCTACAAAGAGTGAGGATACAAAATCTGACACACTTCTAGTTTCTCATTCTAAAAATAAATGGTACAATGCCAAGTATGCTAGCTTAGAGGAGGATTTCATACTACCCAATTTGAGTCAGCATATAAATCATAAATCAAACCGACACTTGAATTTCCAGTCCAAAAGCTCCTTATGTAGTATGACTCACCAGATTCTCCATTTCTTCCAACTACGAAAAATAAGTTAGACTCCTTCCTTGTAACTACCCCCATGACCTTCGCAGAAAATAGGTTAGCTGACTTTGTAATTCTTAAAGGCACCCTTTCAATCGGTCTCCGAATTTAACGGCTGCGGGGAGAGTTTAACACAATCCACCCGAGGTGACACTAAAGCCCTGCGACCTTTAACGCAGCTCCTGGGGCCGGTCCTACAAGCTGGTCTTTGGGGGGACTCTGGCCACGCTGGCCCCTACATTAGGTCTGACCACAAGTGGGGAAAAAAATGCCTCTGCCCCGCCTCGCCGCACAGGCCCAGGCCTCGCTCCCGAGCAGCAGATCCCACGCCCCCTGCCGGGTCTCGGACGGCCCCCGCCGGCCCGCAGGGTCTCGACTCCCCTGCACCCCGCGCGGCCAGCGCCGGGAGCCGGAGCCCCGGGCTCTGCCGAACGGCGCCATTTTAGGCGGCGGCG